CCCGGGGGCCGGGGAGATAGCTCAGTAGAATAAGCGTTTGCCTGGCACACACAGCATCCTGAGTTCAATACCCAGTACCACAAAAAAAAAAAAAAAAAAAAGAGTTGGCCTCTTCAAAAATTAGGGGGCCGGGGAGATGGCTCAGTAGAATAAGCGCTTGCCTGGCAAGCTCAAGGGCCTGAGTTCAATCCCCGGTTCCCCCAAAAAACAAAACAAAACAACCCAAAACAGAGTCCTATCCAGGCGTGCTGCCACACCTGTAATCCCAGCATTTGGTAGGGATTACAGCTAAAGGTAATCAAGCAGGAGGATCACTGTGAGTTTAAGGCCAGCCTGGGCTACACAGTGACTCAAGGGCAACCTGAGTTACACTGAGAGACCCTTTCTCAAAACAAAAAACAAAAAAACACTAACAATGCAAGGTGGTCCCCAACACTGCCCCTTCTGTCACAGCTGGGCCAGGGCAGCAGCTGTGCCCTCTGGTTCCACTTCCCAAAGCTCCCTGTTCCTCTGCATTGCCCTCCAGCTGACCTCGTGCCTCCAAGCCAGCGACCTTCCTGGCCTTCTTTCTCCTCTTGGTTCCCTACTGATCCTCAGGAAACAGAGGATCCTGCTGGAGTCCCAGGAAGCTCCATCTTCCTCCTGCTCCTCCTCTGTCATCCCCCATGCAGGTGACAGTGTGGCCTGCTGTGATGATCAGCCTACTCTTTCAGCCACTGGTGGCTTCCTGACACTCCCTTCTTGAGCCCACATCAAGTCCCATGTCACCTGTGTGCCTGCAATGTCCTTTTCCTAGTCTGCTACCCCTCCAGGTGTTTCCAGGGGTCACACTTTGTTCAGCTCTCTGCTCACATGCCACCACCCTTGGGAATGAACCTAGGGGACTCTGCACTGAGCTGTATCCTTATGCTTTTAAAAAATTTTAAATTTTGCTGGGCATGGTAGCACACACTTGTAATCCCAGCACTCAGGAGGGGGACTGTTGCAAGTTCTAGATCAGCATAGGCTACAATGTGAGCTCAAAGGCAGCTGGAGCTGAATAGTGAGACTTCATCTCAAAAAGACAAAAAGAAAAATGTAAAGTTTGAGGTAGGGTCTTGCTAAATTGCCCAGGCTAGGCTCAAAATTGGGATCCTTCTGCCTTGGCCTCCTAGAGTGCTGAGATTACCTAGGACTACAGAGGACTCACTTCGCACATTCATGTAATCATTCAACAAGCACTTGCATACCATCCACCCCTCCTCAGGCTCTGAGGGGGCTGGGGAATCCAAAACTCCCAGGATAGCAAAAGGCCCGGCATTGAGCGTTGGGGTAGGTATTGCGCTTGATTGGAGTAATTACACCGTTGAAAAGGCTTACGCTTCCTCTCTTGGTCAAAAATCTCCATGTCTCATGATCCTGGTGGGTGTACTTGGGGACAAAAGCTCTCTGGGTCAGCTAAAGGGACTCACGAGTAGCTACCGCAATGCCTCCTCCCGGGCCCTAGTGGGCGTAGTTACTCGAAGCACCACCCTAAGCGAGGCGGGGCAAGAGAGGCTGTGCGCAGGCGCCCAGTGGGTCTTGGGCGGGGCTTTCGTTTTGCGCAGGCGCAGTTCTGGCTTACGGACGGAGCTTGGAACCGGAAGTTGGTGCACCCGCGCCTGTGGGTGAGGTGGGGGTGTGGAGCGCGCGGCTCCGGTGGTGGTGGTGGTGGTGGCGGGAGTGGGGCTGGGGGACCGCGTCGGGGTGGCTGAGCAGCGGCCGCTGAGAGAAGAAACTGGGAGGTAGCCGAGAGCCGGCGGGAGTCCCCGGAGAGAAGCCTGCGTCTCCGGGAAAGCCCGGCACTCGAGACCCCAAGCTTGAGTCCAGCATGGGCTGCTTAGCGATTTAGCAAGAACGGTGTCAAAATAAAAGACTGGGGAGGGAGGGGAGGTAGCACAGGCCCTGGCTTCAGTCCCCAGTACCACAAATTACAAAACAAAAAGCTAGAGAAACTGAGGGCATGAGGTGTATGGGTGCCTCTGAGGGAGGCTTATGGGAACCACATGGTCCCTCCATGAACTTGGAAGATGAAAAGGTAGAAAGTCAGTGTGGACCAGAGACTGGGTCAGGGGGAGAGATGTGGAAAGGTGGAGACAGAGAATAGGGAGAACATGATAAAAATCGGAGAGGTTAAGGCAGCCATGGTGGTGCACGCCCGCAGTCCCAGCACTTGGGAGGCTGAGGCAGGAGGAGCCAAGTAATTTTGAGGCCAGCCTGGGCTATGTAGCAAGATCTGCAAAACCTACCACCTCACACTGGACATGATGGAGCATCATGCTGGCAAGTGGAGACCGGAAATGAACTCTAGAATTGAATTCCTCACCAGCCTTGACTTAACCTCTGTGGCTCAGCACCTCCCTGTGCTGTGAGGGAAGTGTGTCCAGAGAGGACTTGGAACACAGGTGTGGTGATACAAATAAGCAGAGTTAGCCACTGTTAAAGCTGCAGATGACTGGGGACAAAGTAGTAGATGGAGAGATGCGGGAGATGGCTCGACAGAGAGGACCAGGAAGCAAAAACAGAGCCAGGAAGAAAGTTGCACACAGGAAATGTGAAGGCAAGATGGGGCTCAGTGATACAGTTCAGCGGTATAAGTTGCATACGTTCCTGCATGGCAAGAGCAAGATGGAGAAAGAATCAGATTTCAGAGAAAATCAGACAGAAAAATAGAATCTATTAGATAAGAGATGGGGCCGGGGTAGAGACAGAAAAGGGAACCGAGGTGGTGAGGTAGATTAAAAACAGACCAAGGCAATGTATGATGTTGCACACTTGTAATCTCAGCACTCCAGGAGGCTGAGACAGGAAGATTACCGTAAATTTGAGGCCAGCCTGGGTTACAGAGTGAGACCCTGTCTCAAAAAAAATCACACAAAACGTGGGCTTTTTGTTGGCCACACACTTTCCCAGTCAGTGAAGAGATTCCAACCAACATCTGCCTGTCTCCAGACACTGCACACACAGGAAGGCGCTGGACCCTTTAGGAGCCTCAGCCTCTTTAAATGCCAGTGACACAGGGAGGCTGAGGCAGCCAGATTCCCAAGAATTTGAGGCCAGCTAGGACTATATAGACTGTCTCAAAAATCTGAGTGATAAATTTATCTCCAGAAAATTGGCATATGCAAGGTATATTCTTTTGTTGTTTTTAATTTTTGGAGACCACATCTGGCTGTATCATTTAGGTTGGCATTGAACTCATTGTGTAGGCTAAGTTGACCCTAGACTCGCGGCAGTCCTCCTAGCTCAGGTTCCCAAGTGCTGGGATTATAGGCATGAGCCACCACATCTGGCATTATGCTCTTTACCAGCTGGGAATTTTTCAACTGAGAATCAAGAACCCAGCTTTAAGCAAAGAACCTTTCTTTCTTTCTTTCTTTCTTTCTTTCTTTCTTTCTTTCTTTCTTTTTTTTTTTGTGGAGCCAAAAAGTGAAGAGTTGAAGCTGTTACAAATGATGTCACCAAGCTTCTACCATAGCCAACCTCCATGGCTGCACAAGGTCCAGCCTTGTGTGTGTGTGTCTTGTCTCATTGGACATGACTTTCTCTAGGGTAGATTGCTGGGAAAGACCAGAACTCTCCAGAGTTACTAGTACAAACAGCACCAGGTTTATAACAAATTTGCCTAGTTAAAAGGACTCTTTCTCTTCTAGTAGCCAGGTGTGAATTTCAGAGGTGAGCCCTGATTGGCCATGGCTGGGTCATGTGTCAGGTTCCCAGACCAATTATTGATTATGGTGACAGTAGAGTACTGTGATTGGTCAGGCTTTGTCACTGCCCCACTGGTACATGCTCTGATTTAGAGACCAACAGGACCATGTGGAACTGAAGGAACATGGGTACTGTTAAAGAAGGGCCTGGGGCATATGCTAGGTAGGCGGAAACAATATCCCACTAATAAAAGTTTTTACTGTATTTCAAGGGCTTCTAGTGTCCTAAGACCACTGACTTCAGGTTACAAACCTGTCCTCTTCGTGATCTCACACCTGTGTTTTAGCTGCTTGTTACATTTTATATCTAGATGGCCCCTCAAGCTTCATGTGCTCACAGGTAGGGCTTTTGAAAAGTCCTTGGAGCCAGGTGTGGTGGCATATACCTGTAATCCCAGCACTTGGGAGGCTGAGACAGAAGGTTCCTTGCAAGTTTGAGACCAGCTTGGGCTACAAAGTGAGCTCAGACTGGGAATATAGCTCAGCGGCATAAGCACTGAGCAAGTGCAAGGTCCTGAGTTTGAACCCTAGTACCAGGTGACATCATTTGTCACAGCTTCAACTCTTCACTTCTTGGCTCCACAAAAAAACCCAAAGTGAGCTCAAAGCCAGCCGCAACTGCATAGTGAGACCCTATGTTTAAAAAAAGACAGAAAGGTCTCTGGATCCAGAGGGTTTAGGGCTTCCTTGCCGAGAAGGGGCCTCATTAGTAGTGGCCTCAAGTGAGGGGGGGCATGGCCTGGAGGCTGTGTCCTCCTGGCTCCGCCCTTTGCTCTTGCTTGACCAGGTGTGACCCTTGTTCTTCCTTCAGGTCTCAGCTAGGGATCTTCTGATCTTCTTGGGCATCGTTTCCTGTTTCCTAACACAGGCAGGCTCTGGGCTCCTGGAGCACTGCCTCAGCTGCTGTGGTACTGCAGTGCGGGGACACATGGGGACGTGTGTCTCCTGTGCGGCCGCAGCTGTCTGTGAGTTCTCAGGTGGTCTTCTCACCCCTCCTTTTCCTGGCTCGGTACTTGAGAAATAAGTGGGTTTCTGAATGGATATCTTGTGTCCTCTTCCCCAGGTGTCTGGGACCTTAAAGCCCTGCATGAACTCGTGTCCCTCCTGGAGGTCGATGCCAGAGTCCTGAGTGCCAGAGTCTCATGCTGAGCCCGTTCCCCGGACACCTACTGTCACATATGGTGATTGCAACCGGGAAAGAAGAAAAATCAGCTCTTTGAGGAGAAAGTGGTTCCTTGTTGCAGGTCCAACACATGAGAATGGATAAAAGAATTGGGTCCAGGTGATCAGAACTGAAGCCTGCTTGTGACAACATTGTGGGACACAGAATGGCTCCTCCCAGGACGCGGGAGGGTAGGGGTCATCAAGACCACCACCGGGCTCCCAGGGAGGAAGAAACCCTGGAAAAGTGGGACTGGGATTGTCCAGAGACGCGGCGCCTCTTGGAGGACGCCTTCTTCCGCGATGAGGATTATATCCGCCAGGGCTCTGAGGACTGCCGCAAGTTCTGGGCCTTCTTTGAACGCCTGCAACGATTCCAGACTCTCAAGACCTCCAGGAAGGAGGAGAAGGACCCCGGACATCCCAAACACTGCATCCCGGCCCTGGCTGATCTGCCTCGCACTTACGATGCCCGCTACCGCATCAACCTCTCTGTCCTTGGCCCTGATACAAGGGACACATGGGGGCCGGGCAGTCGGCTGCCCCCAAAACAAGTGTCTGAGTTCCGCAGGGCCCTGCTACACTACCTGGACTTCGGCCAGAAGCAGGCGTTTGGGCGGCTGGCCAAGCTGCAGCGGGAGCGGGCGGCCCTGCCCATCGCCCAGTACGGGAACTGCATCCTGCAGACGCTGAAGCAGCACCAGGTGGTGGTGGTGGCTGGGGACACGGGCTGTGGCAAGTCCACCCAGGTGCCCCAGTACTTGCTGGCTGCTGGCTTCAGCCACGTGGCCTGCACGCAGCCCCGGCGCATCGCTTGCATCTCGCTGGCCAAGCGCGTCGGCTTTGAGAGCCTCAGTCAGTACGGATCCCAGGCGAGTAGGTGGTACAAGGATCTGTCACTCCAGGGTGACTCTGGGGCACGATTGGTTGGTCGTGCGCTGCGGCGGTGTCAGGAAAGCTAAGCTGCTGCTCTTTGGCCTGGAGGTGGTAATTCTAGACCTTCAGCTGTAGGTTGGCTCACGTGGGCCAGATGACAAAGGTGCTGATTACCTAGCACAGCACGTTAGCAGCAAAAGGTGAGAAGTGTTGTGAATGCTCGTCAGGCATTTTTATGAGCAGGCTTTTAAAAAATTCATTTTTAAAACTTAATTATTTTTGACTTGTTTGAACATGGGTCTCACTATGTAGTCTAGGCTGGTTTCAAACTCACTGTGTAGTCCAGGTGACCTGAAACTTGGGGTGATCCTCCTGCCTCAGCTTCCTGAGTGCTGGGAGCCTGGCCCCCCCCCCCCAAAAAAAATCCATTCTTAAGGGCATTTTCTACTTTCTTCTCTCCTTCCTTCTTTCCCCCCTCTGTCTGTTTCTTTCCCTCTCTCCTCTCTCTTCCTCTTTCCCTTCCCCTCTCCTTTTCCCTTTCCTTTCCATTTTTCCCTTCCCTTCCCCTTTGTCATCCCCTTCTCTGCTTGCCTGTCTCCCTCCCCCTTCCTTTCTCCCTCCCTTTCTTCCTCCCTACCCCTCCCTCCTTCCTCCCTCCCCCTTTCCTCCCTCCCTTCTGTACTGAGCATGGAACCCACACACTAAGCAAATGTACTGCTGAGCTACATCTCCTGCTTCACCCTTTCTTCATAATCTCTAGGGTTCCAGTCCTGGTTGTGCCACTTACAAATGTTTTGTTACTGTCGAAGTTGTAATACCCTAACAGAAAGGAGTGCATGTGTCTGCACTGAGGCTGTAGCTCAGGGGTGGAGTGCTCGCCTACCGTGCAGGTGTCCTGGTTCCAGCCCCAGGCTGCAGGGAAAAAGGTGCACAGGTCCTGAGTATGTAGTGAGGTAAATTGTCAGTGAGTGAATCCATGTATATAACCAGTACCCTTTAAAACTAACCACATCTGTGGACCCTCCTGAACCTACCCTGATAGCCTGAGGGTCATCACTGTTCTTAGTGATAATGATTTTCATGATACATTGTTTATTTTTGCTCTCTCTCTCTTTTTTTTTTTTTTTTTTAATTCAGTACCAGGGATCAAACTTAGGACCTTCCTTATGCTTGCCAGGCAGGCGCTTATGCCACTGAGCTGTATCCACAGCCCTATATCTTTTTATTTATTTATATTTATTTATTTTACATTTATTTATTGTGTGTGTGTGTGTGTGTGTGTGTGTGTGTGTGTGTGGCCAGCTCAGCCCACCAGGGGGCGGGGCTGGCTGGCATGTGGTGCTGGGGGATTGAACCGTGGTCCCTGTGCTTTGCCAAGCTTGTTCCAAGTAGGTGCTTTAGACTGCTGAGCCATCTCTCCAGCCCCAACACAGCCCTATATCTTTTTTTGTTCGTTCGCTTATTTTCTTGAGACAGGGTCTCATAGTGAGTTCAGGTTGCTCCTGAACTCACTATGTAGCCCAGAGTGGCCTTGAACTTGTGGTAATCCACCTGCCTCAGCCTCTTGACTGCTGGGATTACAGGCGTGCAGCATCATACCTGCTGAAATTTTGCCTATTCTAAGGTCCTGAGGAAGTTTTCCAGTATTCTAAGACTTTTACAGTTAGAATTAGAGTTCGTCTGAAGTTGAATGTGTGTGTATGATGTGAGGTGCGGGTTATGACACATTTGTTCCCTCTGAGAACCTTTTTTTAAGCTGTGTTATCTTGAATGATCACCTTAGTTTCCCCATCTCAGCTAATAGTTCTTAGAACAGTGGAGGTGATAAGGACGAGATCGGTGTGAAGCAGGTCGCGTGCTTCCTGGCACTTAGTAAAGACTGAAAGGAAGACAATTGCTACTACTAGAATTAATAATGTTGTATCCCGGGCAGCGCCTCCGACACGTATGTGTGTTATCACACATGATTCTCGTAGCAAAACCTCTACAGGTTGGCGTTGTCCAGGGACCATGGCAGTGAGTGGCAGCACAGGCCTTCAAACCACGCTTGCCACTGGGCTCCAGAGTGTGTTGCATCAGCCTGGCAGGGACTTGGATTTCTGTCAGGCCAGGTGGGGGTCCGGTGGTCCAGCCCGGGGTCCCCGGCTGACCCTGACATTCCCTCCACCCCAGGTTGGCTACCAGATTCGTTTTGAAAGCACACGCTCGGCGGCCACCAAGATCGTGTTCCTGACCGTGGGGCTGCTGCTGCGGCAGATCCAGCGTGAGCCCAGCCTGCCCCAGTACAAGGTCCTAATCGTGGATGAGGTCCACGAGCGGCAGCTGCACAGTGACTTCCTCCTGGGAGTCCTGCAGCGCCTGCTGCCCACGCGGCCTGACCTCAAGGTTGTCCTCATGTCGGCCACCATCAACATCGCGCTCTTCTCCAGCTACTTCGGCAGCGCGCCCGTGGTGCAGGTGCCCGGGCGGCTCTTCCCCATCACGGTCAGTGTTGCCAGCGTGGTCCCCTCCACCCCGGAGGTGTGCTCGGCCGCGGCTTCCTGTCCCCTCAGTTAAGGGCATTCTTTTTAAGGCTGCTGCTTGAAAAGCTTTTGAACATTTACACTAGCACACAGAGCACCAAGTTACAGTTACAGCGAAAGCTCTGTAACAGCTGCCAACTGCTATGAACAGAGATTCCAAAATATAAGGGCCTGAGTAAGATAGATATTTATTTCCTTTATAAATTTTTTTTTTTTAAATAAAAATCTTTTGACCAGGGGAGGTAGTATACCTGTAATCCCAGGCAGAAAGATTGCTGTGAGTTGAAGGTCAGCCTGGGCTACGTAGCGAGACTCTGTCTCAAAAAACCAAGAAAACAAAAATGAAATCTGCTGTGTCAGGCTGCTAGTCTGCCCTGGGCCTGCGGTCGCCCAGGGGTCCCAGCACCTCGGTTTCTCCCCTGCCTCCCCGGGCAGGGTCTCTGAGTCGCAGCACTGATGCTTGGGCTGGGTCCTTCCCGGAGGGAGGCCTGTGCTGCTGTGGGGGTGTTCAGCAGCCCCGGCCCCTAGCATGACACTCCAGTGCCGTTGCCCTTCCTCACCGTGACAACCCAGAGTGGGGGTGTTCAGCAGCCCCCGGCCCGTAGCATGACACTCCAGTGCCGTTGCCCTTCCTCACCGTGACAACCCAGAGTGTCTCCAGGCGCTGCCACATCTCCCCTCCTGGCACAGCCACGCCATTGAGAAGCACGGTCCCAGGGGGTTGTCCTTGTCTTAGTGGCAGCCTACAGGAAGGGCTCCATTGTCCCTGTGGCCTCCGGTTTGCGACGCCCATGGATGGATCTTAGAAGAAGCAACTACGAAAAAAGAATGAGACCCTTCCCGAGAGGTGACCTTCAGGGCTTTCATCAGGCTTCCACTGCTTAGAGATTCTTTTTTGGGTTGCAGTGATCATGCCCGAGAGAATGCACATATCGTAAGCATATAATTCGATTGATTTTCATAGATTAAATACATCTTTTTAGTTGGCACCCACATTTTTTAAAATCAGCCCTTGCCAGTGCTCCCGAAGCCTGGCTGCCTTGTCCCTTCATCTTGTCCCCTGCGTCCTGCGCTTGAAGAGTGGCATCTGTCCCGGGATGGCTGTGTCTACCCCTGCCTGTCGTGGTCCCCATGCTGGAGTGACTGGCAGGGGCCTGCCCCGGGTTGTCTCATCACAGGTCATTTACCAGCCTCAGGAGGCTGAGCAGACAGCTTCCAAGTCCGAGAAGCTGGACCCACGGCCTTTCCTGAGGGTGCTGGAGGCCATCGACAATAAATACCCAGCTGAGGAGCGTGGGGACCTCCTCGTCTTCCTCAGCGGCATGGCGGAGATCGGGGCTGTGCTGGAGGCTGCACAGACCTACGCCAGCCACACGCAGCGCTGGGTGGTGCTGCCGCTGCACAGCGCACTCTCTGTGGCTGACCAGGACAAGGTATCCAGAGAATGTGGTCACCCAGGCAGGCAGGGAGGTGGGCAGTCAAGGGCAGCTCCACGGAGGCCCAGGGTGATTCACAGGCAGAGTTGCACGGCCCCCGTGTGGCCCTGAGCGCCCAACGTGGGGTCTAGGCTTTGTCTGAAGAGCACTGGGGAGCCATGGAAGGGATGGATCTGAGGGTGTGAGACCAGAGGCCGGGGGGAAGCTGCTGTAGGATCAGAGCAGGAAAGGGAGGCCTGGGCCAGGGAGGGGCTGGGGCTAGGAGAAAGGAAGGGGTGCAGGAAATGTTGAAGGTGCCCTGGGGGCCTCAGGTGAGGAGGGTCTCAGAATGCCCAGGGAAGAGCGGATGCTGGTCGTCTTTGCTTGGGGACTCGGGAGGAGAAAGACCAGCAGAGATGCCAAGGCCATGTGGAGCGCATCCCTGTGCCGCCTCCTCCCTCCCCAGGTGTTTGACGTGGCACCCCCTGGAGTCCGGAAATGTATCCTCTCCACGAACATCGCAGAGACCTCGGTCACCATCGAAGGGATCCGCTTCGTGGTAGATTCAGGTAAGCACTGCCCCTTCCTGAGCAGAGTGAGCGCCGATATTAGCAGTTCCTTCCTACATTTGAGCTTGGGTGGTGGTGACTGTGGAGCATCCCAGAATCCCCCATTCCGTGACAAAGGGTATGAAGTGCCATGTGGTAAACCCTGACGTGTCCTTGGTTTTAAGGCACCTCCCGTTTTCATAGATGGTAACATTCGAGGAAGGTTGGCATTACGTTGGGTGAAATGCTCTGCTCTGTCCTGTCCTTTTATCCTGGCCGTGTCCCTGGTGCCTGGTACCCTGCTGCATATGGCAGGTACCTCTTCCCAGTGTGTCAGGTGACAGAGCCTCTGAAGTAGTAGACAGGAAAATAAGTGAGAGACAGCTTTTCCCCTCCTCTCTTCTTGGCCAGCAGCAGAAGAGGAAGAGGGCAGGTGGAGTCCCACTGTCCTCTCCCTCCTGTCCCATAGGGAAGGTGAAGGAGATGAGCTACGACCCCCAGGCCAAGCTGCAGCGGCTGCAAGAGTTCTGGATCAGCCAGGCCAGCGCTGAGCAGCGCAAGGGCCGGGCAGGCCGCACAGGACCCGGGGTCTGCTACCGCCTCTACGCTGAGTCTGACTATGATGCCTTCGCTCCCTACGCTGTTCCCGAGATCCGGAGAGTGGCCCTGGATGCACTGGTGCTGCAGGTGAGGCCCGGCAAGGAGGGGCTGTGTCCTGACCACCGAGCTGGGGAAGAAGCTGGGCCGTGTATAGATGGAACTAGGCCGCAGCTCACGGCAGGAGTGGCAGGGCTGGCCAGGCCACAGAGGGGACATTGTCCCTTTCAGAAGTCGAAACCTGGCGGCACTGTGACTGAGAATGACTAGCTGCAGCCTAAAACCCTACAGGAAGTGGCTTGTGTTTTGTTTCGCTTTTATGGTGTTGGGGATGGACACAGGATCTGCCAGGATAGGTATGTGCTCCACACAGGCTGAGCCCCAGCCCAGGCTGTGGGCAGGTGCGGTTCCGACTGTGCCTGTTCTGTAGATTCTCCAGCTCCTTGGACTTGGCCACCAGTTGAAGTGACCCTGGCTTGCGCAGTGCAGAGAATCTGCTCTTCTGCGTAAGGGGAAGCCCCAGACCCCAGATGTGGTTATGGAAGTGGAGCAAGAGGCTGTGGGTGCGGCTTCTCTGGCCTTGCTCTGTAAGCAGCTATGAGGGTTTTGTTTGTTTTTGTGCAGAATCTCACTACACAGCTCAGACTCTAGTGATCCTCTTGTTTTTAGCCTCCCTAGTGCTGGGATTACAGGCATGTGCCACCATGCCCCGACTCCATGGCCAGCTCACTGTGCCCAGGGGGCGGGGCTGGCGCAACGTGGAATGCCAGGGATCAAACCCTGGCCCCTATGTTTGCCTAAACAAGCGCTTAGTCCACTGAGCTATCTTGCCGGCCCTGGAAGCAGCTACTAGGATGATGAAGATGGAACTAAATTCCCTGCGCCCAGCACTGTTGTGTGTGTTTCATGTAGATCAGCTGGGCATGGTAGTGCATGCCTGTCGTCCCAGCACTCACTTACGAGGCTGAAGCAGGAGAATTGCCTCAAGAGTTCAAGACCAGCCTGGGCTACCTAATGAGACCCTATCTCAAAAAACAGCTAGAGAGGTAGTTCAGTGGTGTAAGCACCTGCCTGGCAAGAGCAAGGTCCTGAGGTCAGTTCCCAGTATAAAAAACAAAACAGAATGAAACAAAACGAAACAAAACTTGTCATACACACACAAAAAAAGCAGTAACAAACAGGACAGGTAGATAATCCTGCCCTAACAGGGATGGGGATGAGGATGCACAGCATAACCGAGCTCTCAGTCCCATGACAAGGTCAGGAACCAGGCGTCCCTTCCTCCTGTTCTCCTCCAGAAGCAGAGGCAGAAACAGGGAGCTGCCCTGCATGGAACTAAACTTTAAGGCCCCGAGAACCTTCGCCTTGAGGCCCTGGCCGCTCTCTCCTGTGTCGTCAGCAGCACTGGGGCCCGTCCACCCCGTTGCTCTGCCTCTGTGTGTGGGGCTTGGCAGGGAAGCTTCCCAGCCTGCCTGCCCCTTGGCTTCAGTGGCTCAGGGTTCCCACACGGGGGCTTGCTGCTTGCCCACAGATGAAGAGCATGTGTGTGGGGGACCCGCGCACCTTCCCCTTCATCGAGCCGCCGCCCCCGGCCAGTCTGGAGACCGCCATCCAGTACCTGCGGGACCAGGGTGCGCTGGACACCTCCGAGGCCCTCACGCCCATCGGCTGCCTGCTAGCCCAGCTACCCGTGGATGTGGTGATTGGTGAGGGCCCAGCCCGATCACAGGGGCACCACTGCCTGTCCACGTGACCCCTGTGAAAGCCCACGCCCTTGCCAGGCTCCCTCACGGCCATTCATGTGGCTCCTGCCCTGCACCTGCCTTATCCTCCCCTCGCTGCCTGGGGCTAAAGGTGTCGGGATGGGGTATGGTGATGCACATCTGTAGTGCTGGCATTCTAGGAGGCCGAGACGGGAGGGTCATGAATTTGAATTCAGTCTGGTCAGTTTAGTGACATAGCAGGACCCTGTCTCAAAATTTAAACAGTTAAAGGGCTGAGGGCACAGCTCAGTGGGAAGTCCCTGGGTTCAGTCTCTAGTCTTGAAAACAAAAAGGAAAAAGTATTGCAAGAAAATTGAGCCAGGGGGATAGCTCAGTGGACTAAGCACTTGCTTTGGCAAGCTCAGGGACCGAGTGCGATGCCTGGTACCTCATGCCATGCCACCCTGCCCCCGCCCGGGTGTGCTGAGCCACCTAGACGGGTGTGGTGGCGCGCACCTGTAATCCCAGTGCTGGGGAGGCTGAGACAGGAGGATCACTATGAGTCTGAGCTGTGCAGTGAGGCCCTGTACCAAATACATTAAAAAAAAGAAAAGTGAGGGAGGGGTCGGAGCGCCGGGGCGCCTGTCAGTTGTGGATGAAGCATAGCTGATAGTCACGGCCAGCAGTCAGCAGAGTTCCACAGCTCAGGAGCCAGGCCTGGGGTCACTTCTGGCCAGTGGACGGACATACTGGGCTCTTGGGCCTGTGGATTTGAACTGACCTCTGGGCTCCAAGGCCTCTGGTCAAGGTGGGCTGGGGTGGGGGTGGGTGTCCAGGAGGCTGAGGCAGTGCCGCCCCCAGGGAAGATGCTGATCCTGGGCTCCATGTTCAGCCTGGCCGAGCCTGTGCTCACCATCGCCGCTGCCCTCAGTGTGCAGTCACCCTTCACACGCAGCGCCCACAGCAGCCTGGAGTGTGCGGCAGCACGGCGCCCTCTGGAGAGTGACCAGGGCGACCCCTTCACACTCTTCAACGTTTTCAATGCCTGGGTGCAGGTGAGGCTGGCAGCCAACCCCTGCTGCCTGACTGTGTGCTCTTCCCCCCACCCTAGGGCGCCCTGCTGTTCTGGGTGCTCCTTGTGCCCTCCAAGTGGCTCCATTCTTGATAGGCCCAGGCCCCACTGTTCTGCTGCTGGCCAAGGGACAGAATGTACCCTAGGCCAAGGTCAAGGAGGAGGGACTCGGGTTTCTAAAGTGTGATGAAAGCCAGTCCCCTCTGGAGCAGGTCTGCTGCCCATGGATGGCGTCTGTACACCCGACATATGTCTCCTGAGTCCTGGTCTCCACCTGGTGCTGGGTACTACTGTCCCTGTCCTCCCAGGTAGTTGTGGCAGTGTAGGGGGCTCTGAAGCTGGGCGCCAGCCCCACTTCCCTGTTGGAGTTGGGGCATTCTGACCATGGTCCCTGTGGTCCCCAGCTGCCCAGTGCCTGACCCCTCCCTGCCATCCCCTCCCAGGTGAAGGCTGAGCGCAGCCAGAACTCGCGCAAGTGGTGCCGCCGGCGGGGCGTGGAGGAGCACCGGCTCTACGAGATGGCCAATCTGCGGCGCCAGTTCAAGGTGACCCAGATCCTCTCCCTATCCCTGGCCAGCCTAAACTGCACCCTCAGTGCAGACTCAGGGCCAAGGGCACTCAGGGAGGTGGCTACAGCCCTTGGAGTGTGGTTTCCATCATCCTTGTTGTCCTCATCTGGGTGGGGATGGGTTTCTGTCATGGGCGGCCCCTCCTGTGGCCGTGCAGTTGGCTAATGCTCCAGAGTGAGTGTTTTGCAATGGAGGAAGCCCTGCTACCGCATGAAGCCATCTCCTGTGCTTGCGGACGGGCAGACGGAGGCCCCGAGTCATGTCAACTGGGTAGCTCTTCCCCATAGTTCCAAGAGCACCAGGCTGGGGACTGCAGATGTCCTGACCATGCTGTAGAACAGCTAGTCTGTGTGGGTTGGGCACTGAGACACTGAGAATCTAGGGGAAAATGTGGCCCCTTTGCACACACACCTGATGACACGCGTGCATACACGCACACACACCCGGTGTCCTGTGGCCATCATTGCTTGGGGCTCACAGGGAACTGCCTGGCAGACTGCAGTACTTGAGGACTGTGACAGGTGTGGGCAGGGAAAAAGGAGGGACACAAGTCTCCTGTGCCTCAAGAGTGCTGGATGCAGAGTCCCAGCCCTCACCCCCGGAATTGGACTCAGAAAGCCCAGGGTTGGGGGCCCAGCAGGTGTCCAGACCTCCTGGTCACCATGTGGTGGTGGTGGGGGCAGCACAGGGGTTTAGGGACTGTGACTAGGGCCTGGGGCAGTGTAGAAGAAGGGAGCCTGGCTGTGGCCTTCAGGGAGGGTCCTAGGAGCAGCCACCCAGACCTCTTCCTGTACCCCTCAGCTGCCCCAGGCCAGTGGTGACAGTAGTGACCACCACAGGACTTAGCCTTGCCTGGTGTGCAGGGTGGTTCTGGACCAGTCCCCTGTGCCCTGTGGGCTGGGCCTGGGAGGGAAGTGGGAGCTCTGAGGGCCCACTCAGCTTGCCGTGCCCATCCCCTCCTGTCTTCAGGAGCTGCTGGAGGACCATGGGCTGCTGGCTGGGGCCCAGTCTACTACTCCAGGGGACAGTTCCAGCCGGCTGCAGCAGCGACGTGAACGCCGGGCCCTGCAGCAGCTGAAGCGGCAGCATGAGGAGGGTGAGGGCCGCCGGCGTAAGGTGCTGCGGCTACAGGAGGAGGCTGAGGTTGGCTCCAGCGATGAGGACCATGCTGGCCCTGCTGCCCGGCGTGCCGATGACAGCGTGGACATCCAGGTGGGGCTTGGAGGCCTGATGGGCTTTGCTGAGGAAGGGTGTCTGGGGTTCTAGGGATCCCTGGCATCACCTCTAGGAACGGGGGCCTCAGCAGTCTGCAGGCGCTGGGCCCACATGTCCTCCTGCTGTGTAGATGGCAGTGGGCAGCTCCTCAGGGGTCCCTCCTGCTGTGTCCCCCCAGGACGTCAAGTTCAAGCTAAGGCACAACCTTGAGCAGCTGCAGGCAGCCGCCAGCTCGGCCCAGGCGCTGACACGGGAGCAGTTGCTCCTGCTCAAGCTGGTGCTGGCCCGCGGCCTCTACCCGCAGCTGGCTGTGCCTGACCCATTCAACAGTGGCCGCAAGGACTCAGACCAGGTGCACCTCTTCACTCCTTTGTCCTTCAGCTCTGCCGGGACAGAGCGCCCTGACTGTGCTGGTCCTGCCCCCCCAGGGTTCTCAGTGCTGTGGGGAGGAGGACTGTGCCCTAGATAGTCTGAGTGGACAGGACTTGGTGGGGAGCCCCAGGGCCAGGCTGCCAGCCTAACTGGGAGAGAGTCAGCAGGCTTCCTGAGGGGGAGCTGGGGAGAGGAAATGCCGGGGGGAGGCAATGCAGCCGGGGATCTGATAGGGCCAGCCTGGAGGCCTCTGACCCTGGCACCCCCCTTGGGCCTCCGCAGATCTTCCACACCCAGGCCAAGCAGGGTGCTGTGCTGCACCCCACCAGTGTCTTCGCCAACAGCCCCGAGGTGCTGCACACACAGGAGCCGCCTGCCACAGGAGGTGGAGGGAGCCGAGGTACAGTAACCCAGGCAGGATTCAAGGGTCCAGGGACAGCGACGACGATGCAGCAGCCTGGGGCCCCCTCCTGCTTCTTTGTGCTCCCTGCAGCCTGCTGCGTGTTGGCTGGTCTCTCACTGGGTGGCCGGCATGGCTGCTCCCACTTGGATGGAGCAGCTGTCACGGGGTGCCGGGGTGCCGTGCTGGGCCGAGCCATCTAGTCCCCCTCGTCCTCCTGCATGGAAGCAGCGACTGTCTTTCTCAGAGTGATGAGAACAGACCCGAAAAGTTAAAGGCGTTGATGACGCTGGGGAGAGCGCAGGAAGCGTCGCTCTGCGCTCTCTGGCCTTCGTGAATCCTTCATGCCTCTCTCTTCTTTTTTTTCTTCTTTTTGAGCCTGGGCAGTTCAGGCTGGCCTTTGTGGCCCAGGCTGCTCTTGAACTAGCAGCGATCCTCCTGCTTCAGCCTCCTAAGTGCTGGGGTTTAGGTGTGCACCACCATGTCCAGATCTTCCTGATCTTTAATCTTGAAACTTTGCAGACATCATTCGAGTAGCATGCGATGAGCCCCTGCACCCTCACTCATCCATGACCGCTGTTCTGCTGCCCTTTCTTCTGTCGCTGTATTCTTTGTCCGTCCTTCTGGAGTCCTATTTCTAGCTTTGTTTTCTTTTTCCTCCCTCTCATTCTCTTTTCTAGAGTGTTTGTTTTGGGTGCCATTGGAACACACCTGACCTAGTTCAGCCTGGCCTTGAACTCACTGTGTAGCCAGGTGCCTGCAGACTCACAGTGCTCCTCCTGCTTCGGCCTCCCCAGTGCTGGGCTTAGTGCGCCTCACACTGGCCATATCTCAGACGGCCTGTCTGGGGACAGCAGCACCAATAGATATTGTTTGCATTACTACTCTGCTGTTGTCATTCTCAAAAAGTGACAATGGCCCTGTGTGTCCCCGGGAGCCCCATTTGTGTCCCACATGGCATCGTTCTGTGACCTGATGGGTGGCAAGGGTGGCCGGGTATGCAGAGCTGGGCCTGAGCTGTCCTCACCTTACAGATGACAAGGACAAGATGAGCAGCAAGCACCAGCTCCTCACCTTTGTCTCCCTGCTAGAGACCAACAAGCTGTACCTGGTCAACTGCGTCCGGGTCCCAGCCCTGCAGGTGGGTGTCAGCTCACTCCCATGGGGCCACTAGGGGAGGGTGACCCAGGTGACCCAGATGGGTTGGGGTGTGGGGAGGTAATCCTGGGCCACTGGGATAGTAGGGCCCTGGGGAGATGGTGTGGTGTGGGCGTCCTGCAGCAACAGGGCCACACTGGTCTCTGGGAAGTACACCCAGCAGGGACACCACGTGTGAAGGCCCGCGCAGGCCTGCAGTGGTGAGGCTGGAGTGCCCAGGGGCTGGGGCTGGGCCCAGCAGAGGGTGGGAAGGGCAAGTGAAGACGTGGAGCAGAGGTGGGCAGGCCAGGCAGCAGGCGTGGAGGCAGCTGTGGCCTTCGGTGAGGAGGGTGGCGCTGGCCCGAGGGCAGCGTCCTCGAGTCCTGCCGCCCCCAGCCTAATGCCGCGCTCCCAGCACGCCTGGGGCAGACTCCGTCCTGCCTGCTCCCCGCTGGGCTCTCCTGTCCCCATCTGGCCCTGTGCGAAGATGCAGCTGTGTTCTTGCCCTGTACCCCTGCCACCCCCACCTCCCAGACCTTCCTGTGGCTGCTGCTTAGGACACACAGTGGACTTAACTTTATTGTCACCTGTGGTACTGGGGATCAGACCCAGGGCCTTTGAACTGAGCTACATGCCTGGCCCTTTTTATTTTCATTTTGAGAATAGGGTCTTGCTAAGTTGCCCGGCAGGGGCTTGAACTTGTGCCCCTCCTGCCTCAGCCTCCCAGAGAGCGTCACTGCGCCTGCTATCTTTCACTCTTTAGTTCTGTCTTTCCCTGTCTGAGCCCAGTGCTGCAGGGATGGTGCCTAGTCCTCCGCCAGGCGGAGCAGTGCACGGAGACGGGTGCCGCATGGGTGGAGTTTGATGGTTATATTAGGTGGGCAGGTGGGCAGGTGGCTGCGTGGACAGACGGCCACCTGGGACAGGTGGGTGGGCAGGTGGGTGACAGCCCAGCCAGCGCGAGGTGGTGCCTCCCTGCAGTGCTGTCCACCCCATACCCTGCTCCCTGTCACTCTCTCTAGTCCCTCCTGCTATTCAGCCGGTCCCTGGACACCAATGGTGACTGCTCCCGCCTGGTGGCCGATGGCTGGCTAGAGCTGCAGCTGGTGGACCGTGAGGGTGCCGTCCGGCTCCTGGCTCTGGCCCTGCGGCTCCGTGCACGCTGGGAGAGCACCCTGGACCGGCAGCTGTCACAGCAGGCCTGGCAGCGGCAGCGGCTCAAGGATGAGGACGAGGAGAGCGTCGCTCCTGTGAGCTGCTCGGAGGTGGCTGCACTGAGCAGGGAGCTGCTGCAGTTCATGGCCACCAAGGTAGCACCAGGGCCAGGGCGGGCAGTAGCTGCGGTGCACTAGATTTGGGCGCAGAGTGGCTGAGCGACTGAGCCAGGGCCACACAGCTGGCGGGGGCGGAGCCTGGCCCCAGAGGCCCCGGGAGGAGGCCCTGTGCGTGCACGCTGCTCCTTGGGCATGCATGGTGTGCTGTCCCCAGTTAGCAGCTCAGGACGGAGTGAGAGGGGAGCCCAGGAGCCTGTGTGGAGAGGGAGGGCAGCAGGCACAGCTGCGCGCACGTGCTCTGTGGTGGTTTCCTGAGTCTCTCCCATCTCTCCTCCCTAGGTTCCCTACAGCCTCCGGCGCCTCACAGGACTGGAAACCCACAATCTCTATGTGGGACCACAGACCATCACCGCCACCCCCAGTCTCCCTGGCCTCTTTGGCAGCTCTACCCTGTCCCCACACCCCACCAAGGGTGGCTACAGCGTCACCGACTTTCTCACCTACAACTGCCTCTCGGTTAGCGTGCACCCCTGGGGGGGGTCCCCTCAGCCCCTGCCCTGGAGACAGGATGTTAGGAGCCCCAGGGGGACCCCAGCTGCATTCTCACGTCTTTCAGGGCTCTGGGAGGGGCTGCAGTGGGTGGCAGACAGATTGACAGGCCCACCCTCTGCAGAGTGACACCGACCTCTACAGCGACTGCCTGCGCACCTTCTGGACCTGTCCGCGCTGCGACCTGCACCTGCCGTTTACGCCGCTGGAGCGCATGGCCCATGAGAACGCCTGTGCCGCGGGCCTGGAGGGCGACCCAGGCAAGGAGCAGGGACTGGCCCTGCAGCCCGAGCTGGGCCCTTCCCCTTGCCTCTGTCACCTCTGGGCTCTGCGCCCCTCTTCTGTCCCTTGGTGTCTCTATGGCTGTGTCCCTTGTTTCCTTCTGTGCCCCTTGGCCATCTCTACTTGGCCACAGCCCCCCGCTGTCACCAAGGAGTGTTACAGTGTCTGCCATAGTGCACCCCATGCCACAGGGAGGCAGCAGCAGGACCACACATCTCTTGCTGTCTCCCTGGTGGTGACAAGGTACAGACCAGCTTGTGTGTGTGGTCATCCAGGAAGGCTTTCTGGAGGGGGTAAAACTGGGTTTCCCAAAGGTGGGGAGACAGCGGAGCCCTGTCCTGCCTGAGCCTCCCCCTCTCCACAGGCACTGAGGAAGCCAGCCCTGAACACCCTCAGAAGCCATCTGCCCTACAGAGACCCTACCACTGCGACACCTGCCAGAAAGACTTCCTTTTCACGCCCACCGAGGCGCTGCGCCACCGCAGACAGCACCTGTGAGCTGTCCCCACCCGCCTGTCCCCAGTGGGACCCATATGTCAGCCAGGCTCGGAGTGGTGCTACTCCCAGCTTCAAGGAGGGCATGACTTGGGGAATAAAGTTTGTCTTCCCCTGGGAGGCTGAGGCAGGAGGATCACTGTGAGTTTGAGGTCAGCCTGGATTACAAAGCGAGCTCAAGGCCAGCCTGAGCTGTATCGTGAGACCCTGCCTCAAAAAGACAAAAGCCAAAAATCAAAAGTTTGTCTTCCCTGCCTGTACCTGTCCACCTGGAAGGGCCCCTGCCTGAGGATGTGTCGCCCCAGCTCCCCCTCCCCACCCGCGGCCCCAAGGCTCCTGCTGGTGCAGGGCCTTCCAGGTTCTGGATGACTGTCCTCGTAGCCAGCTTCCTGTGACCTGGAATGGGCTGGTCTTGGCCATGGCTCCCCAGATTTGGTCTCTGACGTCAGCTGCTCAGCACCGTGTGGTAGGGTTCAGTGCCCCGCGGCCAGTGGGTACTGCAGTTCCTGACCACCAAGGTGGCACCAGGGGCAGGGCGGGCAGCAGCCCCGGTGCACTAGAGTTGGGCACAGAGAGGCTGAGTGACTGAACCAGGGCCACACAGCTGGTGGGGGCGGAGCCTGGCCCCAGAGGCCCTGAGAGGAGGCCCTGTGCATGTCTGAAGTTGAGAATCAAGAGTCAGCACACAGGCTGTTCAAGAGGAGGCCCCAGCCTGGGCCTGAGCCTCAAATCTGATGAGCCCTCCATGTCCTTAGGCATGTGTCACTGCTGTACCTGGGATCCCTCATCTGTGTGACAGGGTCACAGCTCCTACCATGGAGTTGGCAGAATCCCCCAGGCAAGATCAACTGTCTGGTGTGCAGCTGTTTATTGTTGATTTATTTTGAGACAGGGCTTGAGTTGTTGCCCAGGCTGGCCTTGAACTCCTGGGCACAAATGGTTCTGCCTCAGCTTCCTGCACAGTTGAGACCGCAGGTATACACTTGTGGCTGGTGTTAGAGATCAAAGTCACTCGCTGGCCAGGAGGTGCGGGTGAGCACACGCAGGTGGCTCCTGGCTCCTGCAGGAAGGAGTCCCCAAACCTCCACCCAGGGATCACTGGGGGCACCGTCCTGCTCCTCTCTTCATCTATCCCCGAGGACCCTCCTGTTCGGGGCAAGGTGACTTCCACAGCCCTTTGGTCTTTGTCACAGCAGTGGCCCTGGGCTGGCCCCTGCTCCTGCCACAAATGCGAGTGCTTCTGTTTGGAGTTTCCTTTTTTCTGTCCTGGGGAGTGAACCCAGGGCCTTTGCGCTGAGCCACGTCCCTAGTCCTTTTTAGTTTCTGAGAGGCCTCATGAAATCACCAAGTTCCCCAGGCTGGTCTCAAACTTGAGACCCTCTTGCCTCAGTCTGCCAGATGCTAGGATCACAGCTGTGTGCCCTGTTGCCCTTGCCCCACTGTCACTGTTCAGATCAGCACGCTGATGATCTGTAGGTGATGCCTCCCCACAGGAATGGTGTCTGCATCTCAGAAGGTCCCCTCATTCTTGGTGCTGACCCCGCAGCTCTTTCCAGCGCCCTAGTTGGCTCCATCTCCCACCCGTCTCTCAGCCCTTGCCACGTGGTTTCTACAACACGGCTGCCGGGATAGAACCACAGACAACATGACTTCCACCTCATGGTTCTGGAGGCCGGAAGTTCAGAATCAGGATGTCTGCAGGGCCCAGTGCCCCTGGGGGCTGCACCGGTGGAGCTCTCGGCCTCCTCCCCATCTACCCTGGGGTCCCAGGGCTCCTTGGCTTGCAGACTGGGCCCCGGCCCCAGCCTTCCATCCCTGTGTCCACAGGCCGTGGAGGAGAAGACACTTAGGCTAGCTGAGGTCGGGCCTACCACACCTTACCTTTGAGCAGCAGCAGTTCCGTTGCCAAGTCAGGCCCTCCAGGGAACAGGAATGAGATGTGGGTGAGTACTCAGAGGATGTGACCTGCCTGCAGTGTCCTCTTCGACCCACCCAGGATAAAGCACATGCCTGCTCTGTCCGTCCTCTACTCCAGAGCTCCCCGCGGAGCTGTGAGGTGCTCAGCAAAGTATGGCCACATACCGTGGCACAGTGGCCCTGGAGGACAGGGTGGTAAGTGACAGGAGCAAACATGGGCACCTGTGTCCACTGGCCTGCGATGTCTAGCCAAGTGTGCTGGCTCCTGTAATTCTAGTGCTCTGGGAGGCTGAGGCAGGAGGATCACAAGTTGGAGCCAAGCCTGGGTAGGTTAGCAAGACTGTCTCAAAATAAGGGTGTAGCTTAGTTCAAAGGCCTGGGGATTGAGCCCCAGTATTGAATTTAAGAAGTGGGAGGAAGGTGGAGAGGAAGGAAGAAGAAAAGGAAAAGGAAAAAATTCCCCAAATAGGAAGGCCCATGCAGAAAGTGGCTTAGCGGGTGGCCCGGGCTGAGGGGCGCGCCGTTACTGGGGTTCTTCAAGGGTGTTTGCAAGTTCTCAGGCTGGTTTGGGGTGGTGGCTACTGCTTGGGGATTACATCACAATGGGTGACTTCTGTACCCAGTAGCACTGTTACCTGAGGGGAAAAGGCCCCCACGGCTCCCTCACAGCCCCTGGAGGCAACCAGCCTCATTGCGGGCCCCATCCCTGGTCCCTATCCTGATGCTGGCTTCAC